TCAGTTAATCATTCCGTGAGCGGCCTATTTCATGCTGTGGTACCACATCTTCTGTTCACTAATCAGATTCAACATTAAGATCAGTCTCCCACCTTTACTTCCCCTCTCCGTATTATTAAGGAGCGGAGGGAAGAGCCCGAGTGCTCCCATACTGGATCAAACATTCAAACGCTGTACGCCTTTGAGTGTTTCAGACAGATTCAAGATAGTGGGAAATCATTCTTCAAACCTGGTTTTCTCTTCTTCTAGGAAAGGAGTCACAAGTCAGGGTGAAAGGGTGAAGAGTGAGAAGTGACAGGCTAAGGGTTAGAGGCTGGTAGTTAGATGTACTGTTATGTGATACTAACTGGAAGGCTACAGGACATCAATACATCATAAACCAGGAGGGCGGGCGTTGCCAGGGGGCATCTCAATCCAGACACCATATGAAGCTGCAGAAAAGCTGCAAAAAAAAAAAAAAGCCAGACTTCAGTGTGAACAGACTCCACACAAAGAAGTCCCATCCTTTGTCTCCCTCTTTTCTTCATTTGAATTTCCATCAGATTGAGTGGTGCTGACAAAGCATCAGAGCACTCCACAGGAAGAGGAGAGAAAAAGGATGTGTGTGTATGCGCACATGTGTGTGTGAAGAGGGGAAGCCGCACAACACTAGGGCAGCTAATACCCGTGGGAGCCCTCAGCGGAGCCAGCAGGCTCCTAAAGCCCTGCCTAAAGCACTGCCTGGCTACTGAGACACTGTTACAGCCTGGACAGCTTTAAACACTGGCATCGGGCACTGAAGGTCAATTAATAGGTCACCTGTGATTCAGCCGCCACTCTCCTTTGTCTGTGCGAACACACATGGGCATATACACAACAGCACACATTGAAAAACCTCTTCTCTTACACCCTCCCGAGCAGCTGTTAAAAGCTGGATCTGGTTACGGCGGGGCTGTGCTGCTTCCGCACGCTCCCAACTGGTGCTCTGGGCTGACGGTGTGGAGACACGCCAGGTGGTTGTAATGGGCGACGGCTGTCAGCACACAGAACAGCTGTAATGGAGATGTTCATTCACATGTCCATCCACAGCACGCATTAGTCAACAACAACAGTAATAACAGCTGCTATGTTGGGACTTTATCGCCTGGGCTCAAATGTCCTCTCAGGGTTATTTTTATGACACATACAGAAAATGGAGACAGAGAAAAGCCATGACATTCAAAAAGCAGAATCAGAGTGCACCCTGTGACAGTCAAAGATATTAGGTGCCTTTATTCCATTTTCTCAGTTTCTTAAAATGAGAAAGAGGGTCAGAAGGGTTCATGGGAGTTTGCCCAACCAGTCCACATGTGTTTCGTGGAACTGGAGAAGGCATTCGACCATGTCCCTCATGGCACCCTGTTGGGGCTGCTCTGGGAGTACGGGGTCCGGGGCCCTTTGCTAAGGGCTGTCCGGTCCCTGTACTACCGGAGCAGGAGCTTGGTTTGCATTGCCAGCAGTAAGTCAGACTTTTTCCCGGTGCATGTTGGACCCCGGCAGGGCTGCCCTTTGTCACTGGTTCTGTTCATTATTTTTATGGACAGAATTTCTAGGCTCAGCCAGGGGCCGGAGGGAGTCCAGTTTGGGGACCACAGGATCTCGTCTCTGTTTTTTGCAGATGACATTGTCCTGTTGGCCCCATCAAACCAGGACCTCCCGTGTGCACTAGGGCGGTTTGCAGCCGAGTGTGAAGCGGCTGGGATGAGAATCAGCACCTCCAAATCCAAGGCCATGGTTCTCAGTCGGAAAAGGGTGGCTTGTTCCCTTCAGGTTGGTGGAGATGTACCGGTCCGTCATGGTGAAGAAGGAGCTGAGCTGTAAGGCAAAGCTCTCGATTTACTGGTCGATCTACGTTTCGACTCTCACCTATGGTCATGAACTTTGGGTCATGACCAAAAGGGCAAGATCCCGGATACAGGCGGCCGAAATGAGCTTCCTCTGCAGGGTGGCAGGGCGCACCCTTAGAGATAAGGTGAGGAGCTCGGTCACCCGGGAGTAGCTCAGAGTAGAACCGCTGCTCCTCCACATCGAGAGGAGCCAGCTGAGGTGGCTTGGGCATCTGTTTCGGATGCCTCCTGGGCGCCTTCCTAGGGAGGTGTTCTGGGCATTTCCCACCGGGAGGAGACCCCGGGGAAGACCCAGGACACGCTGGAGGGACTACGTCTCTCGGCTGGCCTGGGAACGCCTCGGTATCCCCCCGTAGAAGCTGGAGGAAGTGTCTCGAGAACGGGAATTCTGGGCATCTCTGCTTAGACTGCTGCCCCCGTGACCCGGTTCCGGATAAGCGGAGGAAAATGGATGGATGGATGGTCTACAAGAACACACAATCCTGACTGGTTGAGTTTGTGTGTTGAACTCTTCATTAACAATAATAACAACATGTTTTCTGTTGAACTTTGAAGCTGCTGTGGCCAATATTTTCTACATGAAGAGTGGCTGAAATGTTTGTTCTCAGTGTGAAACAGTTCACTCACAGGGACAGACCCACCAGCCTCTGTAGCTGCTCTCTGCTTTAGAGAGACATTCAGACTGAGCCAGTAAAAACACAACTCCCTGCTGTGTTTTAACACATGGGGCTGCATCAGTCAGGGGGTGAGGGGTTGCAGGGGGGAGTGTTATGGGCATGATATGGCCACGTTTTAACAACTCGATGTGAGTGGCTTCATTCACCTCCCCAGCCCAGGAGTTTCCATTGTGTTTTGGTTAGCAGCACTGCTAACATAGCCTACTCTACCTTAGCACCAACTCTACCACCAGTGAGTCGGCACTGATAGTTTAACATCCGGTACGTACTAATGAAAATGCATGGCATGTCCTTATGGTACGTGACCTGTGGCCTAGATTCGACAGTGAATAGCAGTGAACGCTCACGCTAGCAAGGTGAACAAAAGAGTCCTCATCCTGTGGGCGACCATGTCCCGACTGTCCTCGGAATATGATTGGTTAGCACAGCGCCTTACCGGATGATGTCACTGTCAGGTGACATGAAAGTTGAACCGGATCCAACTTTTTCACCACATTTTGCCAGAGCCCCCTGCAGTGCTGGTGCCAGTGCAGTGAACGCAATCCTCCACAGAATGGATGGAGAGGGCTGCGTTCTTTGTTTCCCGCACCTTTGAAACTCAACCTGAACGTGGCCTTACAGTGTATTATAGTGTCTTTCAACGCATTGTTTTGTTTTTTGCAAATCACAACTTCACTGCTTTGGTTCAGTCTCACCACACAACAGGACACCGTTTTCAGTGAAACAACTACGATAAATCTATTTGTGCAGAACCAAGACGGACACAGCAACACGTTAGGGAACATAGTGAAGAAATTAGTGGTTAAATGAGCAAATACAAGACTAAATGCTGGATTTACAGTCATCTTGTGGCCAGAAACACAACTCTAAATTAATGCTACTGTTACGCTCCATATCTGTTGGACTTGTAAACGAACAGTTATTTGCTAGCACACTGCCATGTCAACGGTATAAGTGGATAATATGTTAGTGTTGTGTGAACTTGTTGCATTCCCTTTAGTTGGCCCCTAAATAATTAATAATCCAATTCTCCATTAAAACCTCCATTAATGCTAGTTTAACTTTGATTGTTGCCTTTTTAATAATGAATATTTAATGGTACAGAAAATACTTAAGACCTGAAACCATGTTTTCAGGGGCTTTCAGTATTTATATCAAACAAACAAAAAATAAAGTATGCCCAACTCTGTCACTTCCTCTAGTGGTTTGCCCAGGTTTTGACATATCCATCTTTAATATTCCAGTTACCGTCACAATACAATGGAGACAAATGAAATGAAGTTTCATTTATCTCACAGCATGGAAAGCAGCACTTAAAATATACAACAGTAAATCTTTCCAGTATCTTTTTTACTCTGGATTATCCTCAGACCTCCTTGTCAGCAGGTTTTACAGGGACTATTTTTTCAGTTCAATTAGTTCCAGTGAAAAAACTGTTGACAGCGAGGTCTATGGATTATCCAGAGGAAGGAGGGCACTGTTCCTGTGAGGAGACACTGGTGTTGTGTGTTTTATATGTTTTGTTTTATTGTTTTGAGAACCAAAAACAAAATCCACTTACCTCCACTGGAGGCAAATGAGTCAGAGCACGATATCTCATTATTAACCCAAACAAGCAAGAGCAAATTAGCCAAATACCAAAAGGGTAATTAAGAAAATGTCTTAATTGAATGACTTGACACTTTAAACTCTATGTTCTTGTCCATATTCACACCTTCAGGGCCAAACAGGAGAACATGTAACAACAACCTGATTTACGTGAAGGGGCACAGAAACCACTTGCTAAAGACATGGTGTTTTGTGCCAACCAACAAGGAGGCGAAGCTGGCACAGAGAGGGCTTCTTAAGCTTTGTAGGAAACGCCCTATTCATTGCAAGAGTGAACACTTGGCACAAACGTCCATATCGGAGGATGCCACACACACAAACTTAAGCT